GGGGACAGAGAGCAGCCCTAGGGGCTCAAATCTACGAGCAGCTACTCGGACACCTGCTGTTTTTCCACCTGGCATCACAGCCGACATCTCAATCTCCTCCATCCTCCGAGGAGGGGACCGCCAAGGCTGCCCCTTCCCCATGCCATGCGCTCTGCTCGGCACCTCCTCCATGCCTGCCCAGAAGGCACCCGGCTGCGCAGGGTTTCCAGCAGCAGCACATGGAGAATCACAGCAAATCCTCCGGAATCCCTGAGCCCAGCAGCATGTGCAGCCCGGCCCGGGCTACGGCCACGAACACCCTCAAGCACGTTCAGCGGCCAGCGGCCAGCGCGCTGGGCTTGCCACGAGCACAGCCGCATCCAGCAATGCCCGATGCCCAGCGGGGGCAAGGGGAAGGCTGACAAGGAAGCCACCCCCCAGCAAGCTCCCATCCTTGGCCATGCGCTCGGCAGGTACCCGGAGGTCCCAGAGTGAGGGAAGGAACCTGCCCCACCACCAGTGCCAGGGCTGCAAAACTCCCTGTGAGCAAATGGGCTGGGCGCAGTGTGGTGCCTCAGTTTCCCTGTGGTGAGCAAGGACTGCCATGATCCTGGTGTAGAGTCTGCACTGAGAGCAGCCAGGAAACATCACAGCTCTGTTTCTGCCCCTGCTGCCAGCTGCAGAACCATCGGTGCTGGGGAAACTGAGGCACGAGGACAAGGGGAGGCCAGCCCAGCTCAGTGGAGGCCTCAGGCACCCCAGGTGGACCCAGGCGTGGGGGCAGAGGGAGTCGTGCATGAGGCACCACCCCAGGTCTTTGCTGAGGTCCCCAGAGCAGCATCCCTGCACGCCGGGGACCACTGCCACCCGTGGCGCCGCAGGCCGAGCCCTGCTCGCAGGGAAGGTGCTCAGGAAGCCCTTCCAGCCAGCACCGTTCCCCTGGCCTGACCAGGCGCAAGCTGCTTCCCCGGGACCGGCACACGGTGAGGAACAGGCCGAGGACCTCGGGGTTTGTGGGCATGAGCTGCTGCCCACAGCAGGCAGCGGGGCACCCAACACCCACCCTGGCCACCAGCAACTCCCCTGGGGCAGGGGGCCTGTTCCACATGGGACAGCCAGCCCTGGGCCCAGTGGGAGGGACACCCACAAACATCTGCTGTGCTCGGCCGGACAGACCTGGCACGGACACCTGTGGCCCGACCGCCAGTCCATGCCAGGGGACACCCAGCTGGGCACTCAGGGGGCAAACGGCCACGATCCCTGGGTCAGGTCTACCCCGGCCGCTGCCCCGGGAAGCAGGACCCACCACGGCCTCACCACGACCTGGCTCCATTCCACATCGCCCGCAAGCAGAGCATGGGGCAGCGCCCAGGCATGGCACAGGGAAGAGGCTCAGCTCCCCGGAGCAGACAACGCTGGCTCAGCCCAGAAAGGGCACGAGAACCTCAGAGTTTGTCCAGAGGCCAGGCCAGGCCGAGCTCCCATCCCCACAGCTTGGCCAGAGTCACACGGCCCCCGGCCGGGGGGTCCCCCAAGACACATCCCCAGGTGAGCAGACGCGGAGCTGGGCAGCAGCTCCGTTTCTCTGAGCTATCCGGGAAAACGCTACTCCTTGCTCAGCCTGCGCCACACTGGGCTTAGGGATAGCATGAAGCAACTCTGCATGCAGGGAAGCAGAGCAAAACAAGCCCTCCCCAAGGATCCCGTTCAGCAGAAGTGCCCTCCCCGGGTTTCCTTGTGCTTTAAAGAACTACTGAGGATGAACACCATAAATCATAAAACTGGCACCTCAGAATAAATATAGATTTTACAATGCAGGATATACAAGTGAAAGGGGAATGACACGGGCAGCGGCAGCGCGGGCAGGCCGGGCCCATCCGCCGGGAGCAGCCTCGTTCACCCTCTGGACTAGCCGCCGGGCCGGGCGGAGCTGCGC